AATCGTAGTCATCTAATATACCAATCTGATTTATTATGACACCTAACATGGAATGACTAGAAACTATTGCTGCATGCCATCGTGCCTTAAAACAAATTACTGGAACTTCCCGTAACGTAATTTATAATTTCTAAAAGTTTAAAAAAAAACAGACCGAACGTGTCAAAACCCATGGAAATGTGAACAAAATTAGTATTCATTACTAAATTTTGTATAACATATCTCATATTTTGATGAGCATATGCCTAATGATCATTATCGAAAGCCAAATTGCATTTTGTTTTCAACTTTTTTTAACTTCCCGTAGGGCAAGTTATAGTAATCGCAAAAAAAATCGAAAATGAAAATTTTATATATCTTTATGTTTCAAAGGTTTCTGAACATTTTGGCATACCTTGGAAAAAATGGATATATGTGTGTGTGTGTGTGTGTGTATGTACGTGTGTGTATGCATGTGCGGATACAAATTTTCGTCGACGATTTCGGGAACACGCGATTTGAATAATTCAAAAAACATTCGATTCGTATTGATAAGGAGACGTGCTGATTAGTTTATGGCAAAGGCAGGTCTAGCCGTTCCGAAGATACGGGGCAAAAAGTGCCGAAAACGGTAGATCAGTTTTTAAGAGAACGGAGCGTCCGATTTGAATTCAAAAACGTTTTACTTGTATTGACAAGATGAAGAATTGATCAAGTATTCATGGAGGCAGATCCAGCGGTTTCGGAGATCTAATAATAAAAGTAAAAAAAATGCCATTTGGCGGTCAAAAATGATCATTAGACATATGCACATCAAATTATCAGATATTTTATAGAGATTTTAACAATAAGTATAACATTTTTTTACATTTCTATGGGTTCCGTACCAATGCTTATCCGTTAGACGGCGGCGCGGCACTTGCGCGCTTTTGACATTTCGTCTCTCTATGCAAGTTCAGAATTTCCAAAATATGTCAAAATGAAGAAAACATTTTCTTTTCAAAAAAATTTTGTTTCCAAAAAAAAATTTTTTTTTCAAAAAAAGTAAATTTTTGTCAAATTTATAGTTTCTCAAAAATCTAATTTTTTCGAAGTAAATTTTTTTCAAAAATGTTAATCCGTCCCCCCGTCAATATAAATGCACATTAATTTTTTCTAATCGTAAGAAATCCCAAAATATTCAGAAGTCTTTAAAAAGTAAAGATATGCAAAAATTTATATTACCTCACAGTCAATCCTGATTAGCTCTAGCTCTTTGCAGTCGTTCGGGATGATTCCAAGCCATTTGAGTAAAATCTCTAACTACATCATTGAATGTATCATCTCCTGGTGCATGCTCAGTGGCTCTTATTTCTTCGTTCAAACGAGCTAATCGTAATCTGAAAATAATATACATATTTTTTAGCGAAATATGTTGCATTATATTCTTCATGTTTACAATATATCTATTACATTATTATATTCTTAAATTATAATTTAATGTCATTTGTACTATTGGTATTCTTTAACGCGGTACGAATCTAACCATGACAACGGTTCCTATACAACACGATAAACAGTTTCCATAGAAACGCGCTACAATTTATCCTAATTGGTATGTTAATTCCGAGTTTCTCATAGCGAGGTACACAAGTGTAGACTGTATACATATATTCATATTAACAAATATAATTGATAGAAATACAGCATCCTACTTACAGAGTAACTATATCAGCATTAGCCTGGTTGACAGCAATATCGATCGGCTCCCGCCCTTCCGTATCTTTAAGATCATGTTTAGCTCGATGTTTTAGCAGCAGACACACTTGAGCGGTATGCCCTAATCTGGTGGCCAAATGAAGTGGAGTGGAACCAGCTGCATCCGCCTGATTTAATCGGGCGCCATTCAAGAAAAGAAATTCGCAGCCATCACGGAACCCTTTATCAGAAAAAATTGAATCACGATTAAGGCATATTTTGCATGCTCATACAACGTCAAAATTTTTATTTTTGAATTAACACTTAAGTGTCTCAAAGCGCATTGCTGGAACTTCCCGTATAGTAATTAAATATTTAAAGAATAAAAATCCATAATCAATAATCAACAAAAATGATAAACGATTAACAACAATTGTTTTAAATATTTTCAATAGATTATCATAAACATTGTAAATTGCTTACAAGAAATTTAAACCTAATCGAGTCCAGATAAAATAAAGGCATCCGAAGATCATAAATAAAATTATAATAAAATTTTATTTTTTTAGAATTGTCTTTTCGTTTCAGAATCATTTTGTAAAAAAAACTGAAAAAAAATTTTTTTTTAAAATTCGGAAAAATTCGGTTTTGAATTTTTGATAATTTTTAATTTTTTTGAAAATTCCGGGATTTTTTTATAAAACAGCTGGACCTGCTTTCTAAAAATTTAATCGAACTCTCAAAAACTTAATTATAATTTTTGCCTCGCTGTCTTGAACAAAATCGTGGACGAGAAATTGTATCCTTACATACACACACTTATACACGCATGCATAAATTTTTTCTAAGATATGCCAAATGTTCAGGAGTTCTTGAAATGCAAAAATATGCAGAAAATTTTATTTTCGAATTTTTTTATTAACTTACCGAAGGAGAAGTTTATGTTTTCATCAAAAAATCCGAATTGCTAATTTTATGTTTTCTCGACGTCTCAAGCCATTCTGAATTGAATGAGACCAAATTTGGAAAAAGTATGTGTGGTGTGTGTGCGTGTATGTGGACAGATTTTTTTGCCGTAATCAACGTTTTCT